AACTTTGTGACCAATCCTCACATTTACAACCTTTGCAGGTCTGTAAAGCAAAGGAAAGCTGGTTAGATCATAAGCACAGTCATGGTTTCACTTTGTGCCCACTTTGCTTAATGACCAAGTTGCCGGTTCCAGTTGTGGTTGCTAAACAAGGACTACTTGTATAGTGGTTTGTTTTTTTGGTTCTTTGTATATATGTAGCTTGCAAATAACAAATGGGTAGGGTTATATGCTATAAATAGCTGAACAGAAATATTACTTTAATTATATATCAAGGGCCAGTCCTTGGCTAAGTTCAGCTCACACTGCTGGATTGAGTACAGGAATTTCTATGTAGTTAATTATGGAGAACAGCATAATCTTTCCTTAGCATTACCAAGAAAGCAATTCAGCACAAATAAGAAAAAAGGACTCAATTTCCACATTAACAGGACAGAAGACAGGTACATTACAAATAAGAAAGGTATCAAGGATCCATTAATATTTTTCATCTGAATTGTAAGATCTAATCTCATGACTTAGCAATATAAGGTGATGTATACTGTTAGACCAGACATGTAAAGGCTCATATTTAAATTCTAATAAAAGATTGCTAAAAATAAGGTGATTAGATTGTAGCTCTAAGCAAAAAATAAAGTTAGTTATAGAGTAACATTATTGTAACACATGTGACAGACTGACATTGTTGTAATATATTTATGCACTGGCCTGCTGTGTGAGTTCACTCTCACACTAGCACAAAAGCTACTGTTCAGAGAATAAATCTATTGCAAACGCAGGAGGCATATATTTGAAAGTAGGCTAACACTAATAATTATGCTTTGTCATCAACTGCATGTGAATTTCAGTAGGTTTGCCAAACTACTTTTAACACAGAAAAAAGATTATGTTCCACTGACACAAATAGATACAGCAGAACTCTGTGGGTAGGAAACATCTAGTTCAAGTTAGTGACCATTTGGAAAAATTCCAAATATACTTCTTAAAAAATCTTATTTAATTAGCATGTGTGAGTATCTAATTACAGCCCATGAAATCTCAAACAATGTTTGCTCTAGATCAGAAGTGTTTAATCAAATGAAAAAAGTGCTTGAAAAAATATATGTCCATTGATATGCTAATTGAAAGATCATTAAAAGTAAATAGAAACCATTAAAAGGTAACAGGGTAGCTGCATTTCCTTAATACACTAAACCAATGGTTCTCAAAGTGTGGGCTGAGACCCCCCCCATTCAGGGGGTCTGCAAAGTCAAATATTTTAAAGTTTCTCAGTTAACATTTCTAATACAGTAAGTATCGATAGATATAACTCACATAAAGCTGTTTGGGGTCCTCAATCATTTTTAAGAAAGTAAAGGGGTCCTAAGACCAAAATGTTTAAGAACCACTGCACTGAACCACACTTCATTTGCTTATATGCCCTATCGTACAAATCCAGTCAATGTGCTCTGTAAACTAGGGTTTATAGTTTAGGGCATTTTGTGAACCCCATCACTTGTTTATTTAGTAAATCATTCAATCATGGCTTAATACGTTATATAAGCACACTCTCAGTATGTGAAATGGCAAAAGGTTTGACTATCTACTGCACAAGATGAAAACCTTTCCCTTTCAATTAAAAGAAGGCTGAGACCATCTACACTTGCAACTATTGGCTGGCTTTACCTAACATGTTAACCAAAAGCTAACAAACTATGTTCTACGATATGTGGAATCTGGACATTGTTTTCCTTTTTCAATATGAAAAAAACACAGAAAATCAGATCATATTCCATTAAAAAACAATGCAACACTGAAACTGCACACAAAATATCTATTGTAGAACATCCTTTCACCCAAAAATCAGAAAAAGGCAGCTTTTCTTTTAGTTGGTGAATTAGGTTTTTAGTTAGCTGTAGAAAAACACAAAATCTGAGAATTCTATGGCACTTTAGCAAATAGGTTTGTTCAAATATGTCTAAATGTCCAGCAGCCCATGATAGTACAAACACTTCAAGTTTAAAAATCAGATAGGCTCAAAGGAACAAATTTGAATGTCTGTTAATAGAATAATCTTCTCTTACTGCATCAATTCATGATGTGAGTTCTTGTACTGAGAGCAGCAGCAGCAGCAAGCAAGGCTGCAAACTTAAGAAAGGGCCATCAGACCCCTTACTGGTAGTTCCATGCAGCTGCTTTCTAGCTCTTCATTTGGCTTCCTGTAACAGAGGCTGGAGAGGAAACAGACCAGAAGTCAGGTTCAATAAAACTTGATCTTCCTATAGTGGAAGAGGATATGGTAGCTTAAGTTGCCCTAAGATTAATATTCACATGTTAAATTCTGAGAGCACATTCCATGAAATCTAAGAAGTCATTTGTCTCATTTTACAGAAAAATAGAGACCAAGTCTGTATGACTTAGGTTCCCTGTGACCTAGGTCTCCAATAAAGATGCATCTAGATATTGAAAAGGGAGTGGCTTCTAGACCAAGACCCCAGCAGATTTTGCCAATGTAGGCTTTAAGAAATCTTAAGAATTCACCAATTGCTGACTTCTACATTTGTTCAGGTTTATGACAAATGGCAGAATTTTTTAAAATACAGGTGATTTGAAACACTTCCATTGTTTAATATGTAGCTCATTTTTCTTGCTAAATTAGCTCCAATGCCAAAATCTCAGAGCTGTTATACATGTTCCATGCCTAGAAACTATTTTTCTTAGCATAGGTATGGGAAATTTATTAATCTCCAGTTGCTAGTGAACTACAATTACTGACAACTCTAGCTAGTAGGTACAGTGGAAAATACTGATAGGAATTGTTCTTTAATTACCATCCAGAGTCACAAATTCCTTATTTCAATTTGGTAAGTACAATATTGTTTGCTATATTTTACTTCACCTTTTGATTCTCAAGATGGCAATTTGTTTAATTAGACTACTCCAAAATTTTACGTTGAAATTTTGACTGAAGGCTATGTAAATTACAAACTTTCTTTCAGTAATTTCATGACTATTTTAAATTCAGGTTTGTGGCTCAATATTCCAAGTCTGAAAATTAAATGGATTAGGCCCAATAACATCCAATAAGCCAGAATGGTGGCTAAATGTGTATGGCAGGAAAAAGAGATTAGCCAATATAATTTTAGCATTTTGTTTATGTATTAGCAGAAGCAAAATAAAATTATGCAGTTTGTCTTTAGAATCATATAGGTTGCAGGAGCTAATTTTTATCTGAGCAGCTTTTTGATTATAAATTGGTGATCCATAGGACAGGGATTGATCAATTAAAATATTTGATTCTTTCTTCACCAAGTTTATATCACCTCTCTGGAATTCCCATGGAATTCCCTCCAGAAGATTTTTCAATTCCTCCCCCGCCCCTTCTGTCCTGTATTTCTTTCTGGGTGAAATACAAAGTACTGATTATTATCTTTAAAGACCAATATGGTTTAGAGGTTTAAGCTGATTGAGAAAACAACTCTTTCTATTTGAGTCCCAACACCACCACCCTGTTCAACTGAGATTGTCTGAGAAGATTTGCCTACTGTTGTCACATGGGTGACCTGGAGTCTCTGTGTCTGTCCCAGTTCTTTAAAATATACTCCCATCTGAGTTTTGGTGTGTGGGTGCGTGTGTGCGTTCTGTGTATGTAGTGGCTCAAAAATACTTTTCAACACATATTAAAGCACCATATTCATTTTCAATACATTCAACGTAGCATAATTCCTCACCTCTCGAATGTCTTGTGAATTCACATCTGGACGTTTCCATCCTGATATGGCAAGACCCAACAACACTAACACTCCAAACACCAAAATCAGCATTCCCAGAATGTTGGCAAACCAAGCCTCTGCAGAAAGCTTGGGGCACGGCGTTGTTGAATTTTTTCTAAGAGGACAGTCAAACAAAATGATGAAAACTCACATATTTTTGCAAAAATTGAACAAGAAGGGAATGCTTGGAATGCGTTAATAAACTTTTTAGGCCACTTGTTCCTCTCCTTTGATCACATGCAGCTTTATCTACCAGCTTTTTTTGCTATTCCAAAATATTTAGTATTGACTTCATAATACACAGTAAGATCTAGGCATGCTTATGGTATTCATTTCCAA